CCAAATCAAACTGAAGTACATATAGATTTAGAATAGTAGTTATATTTTAATAATCGAAATACCAAAAAATCGGACAAAAAATTGAGCCGAACCGAAACCCGATATCCGGATTGAACACCTATAATCCGAATGAAACCGAACTATTGTTTCATTTTTCAAAACATAATAAAAATAATAGTTTCATCCCGCGCAAGGCGCGCGTCTTATCCTAGTTTTTTTACTATATTTCACAACTGATGTTTATATAAAACTGTTGTAATATTATTAAAGGAACATCAAAATATGATATCGATTTTTAACTTTTTGGTAATTGTAAGCAAAGAATATAAAGACTTTTGTAAGATTCTAAACCCAAGAGGGAAGCGAAGAACTAAACACAAAGCTTAACTGCTACAATACCAAAATCTTTGCTCATAGGAAAAATATTCCGACACAACTGATAGCTCACGAAGATTGACTTTTTTTCCTGTGTGATGAAGATGTCAGCTTCGCCGATAGAAAAACAGTAAAAGTCCTATGCACATCAGCCATATCCACCGTGTGTTGTACTCTGCTAGAGATCTTGCGGAGGAGACTTCTGATCTGAATTAACAAACCAAAAAAATTAGCACTTTTGCAACCAAAATGATAATAAAAAGGCATAACGAACAAAAAGATGAACATTAGGGTTCTTACTTAGACACATCATAGGAGCACGTTCCGTAGCCTGCAAGCAACATATAAAATATCTCATCTACTACCATACATAAAATAATCGAGGAATTTAATTTTTATAACAAAGATGCTAGGATATGTAATTTCAAATCCACTTATGTGTTGGCAGTGTTGCTTGTGTCATTTATCTTATTTTTGCAAGCTAAGTATACATGGGTAAAAATCCATACATAGATAGGGCATAACGTTTTTATGCACATAGATATTTTGGTAAAATTAATCGATTATTTATTTTAGTACCCTAAAGAATGCAAGAAACTTACTAGGGTTAGTCTTCGTGAGTGTAGCTGTTCCACCGAAGTAACAGGCAATGCGATTGTTCCCATTGGTTTGATAATACGCATTAAATGCAAAAGATGCGTGCGACCATATCGTATCCGGCTCGTAACAGTCACCATGTTTCTCGATGACTGAGCAATCAACTCTCCCAATACCACATGCCCAATCAAGAGCTCTCTGTAGCTCAGCTTGAGACGCACTTGGTCGAGCCACGCACCATGTTGTTCCGTCCAAGAACGTCGTATTACCTTCAGGTCGAATTGGTGATTCTGGTCGGATCATCGTTACCGGTCTTGTAGCTTCACATGGTACTTGGGATATGAGGTTTAGTAGAAGCAGAGAAAATAGAAAAATCCAAAATTGATTTCTCATTTTCAAGATGTTGGTATTAGAAAATATAAGTGTAAAGGGAGGAAAGAATCCAGATCATAACATCACCATAAGTAGAAACTTGTGTTATACATAAATATATTGATTGTCGCACTCTTTTAAGTATAATGATCAAGTGATGGGGACTTGGGAGGCTGAGACAAGAGAGGTTTGGTTTTATTTAGTCACAAGATAACCTAATCAAAAGAGCAAAGAATAATCTAGATCTCATTAAGGAATCGAAGGTGCCTTCAAGAGTAGTAAATGTTCAAGATATTGATAGCATAAGATTTGTTTTATGATTTTTAATATCAGGAATATTGCTTTCCAATCGATTTACTGTATTAGGAATACTGAATAGTTGGGAAGAGGCGTTCACAAGCAAAGAATTCCCTGCAAAGAGTATCTGTTTAATTATAAACATAATAATTTCACATAGATACGGCATAAAAATACCCAACAAAACTGAATATATTTCTACAAAGCAATTCATGATTTGTTCAATCTTAATGACTAAAAAGAGAGTCGGTTTGATTAAGAAAGAAAACAACACAACCAAGTTATTACAAAAGCCAACAACCAAATCCATTCAGAAGCTGATGCTAACAAATCAAGAAATCATATAATTTAAAATGAAAAAAAAAAATTATGCATTGATTTTATGAGGCATAGTGAACCCCCATGAGCTCTTCAACTCTCTTACACAACTCTTTTGTAAACAAGGATTTCAAACCTCTAAAAATTAACACGCTGGTTGTCAAGCGGGATGAGACCCACATGTCGAATGAACGGATGTGGGAGGTCTATTAGCCGTGGATGGGTAGAGATTATAAGTGATATCAGACTTGAACGCAGACGAGTGTAGAGTTAGTGAGGGTTCACACTAACATGAGTAACGATCTTAGGCGGTGTATTCTGTGAGAACGGATGAATTGTTACATCCCGGTTTGTAAGATATTTAGAAGAATTTAAGCAAATTAATTTGGTTATCTATGTCACCAAAGTGCACTTATCTTTCTAGGAGCACATCCAAAAATAACTCCAGAGTTAAACATACTTGAGATGGAGTAGTTGAATGATGGATAACCTATCAGAAAGTGATTCATTACATCGTATGAATGAAGCCAAAGCACGGAAAAAGGTCATCTGATGATTACATTATCAATAACCAATGATTTGAGCTTTGAAAAAATTAATGCACCGCTCATTAGACGAAATGAGAGCTAAAGCGGGCGTGGAGGTCCATTACCCATGTGCAAGCGGGGCATTACATCATCCACTTGAACGTTCATGGTTTCAGATATATCTTCCATCTTGTTCCTACTCAGGTCAAAAAAAGATTCGATCAAGTTCATCGACTGTACCAAAGATAACAGTTTGTATATAACCAGTCTCTCAATCAGGCCTCAAACACAAGGGAGAGCCAAATTACGTGGAATATTTCTAGTTTTAGTATCCGCAACCTAAATCTAGTGAAAGTCTTTTTATTCCTGGCAGTTAAGAAGTAATTAATGCTTTTACATTAAAATAATTTGGATTGGGAAAAAAAAAGAGAAACAATTTATTAACGGTTCTTTATATATTAATTAAGAAACATTCGAAAAACTATAACTTAAGTTTGTATTAATTAAAAAATAACTTCATCCTATATGGCATTTTTATGTCTTCTAATTCAGTTTAGAAAGATTCTAGAGCATCTTATATAGAGTATAGTTTAAAATTTATACTCTCTAACGATATAATATTTCCCAGGATATAACTGGTCGCATATATCAAATATTTATTGTTTTGTGGATTTTTCTTAAATAAAACCTACGGAATTACCTAATGTGATTAAAATTTATATGGAAATTGCTGATTTTAAACAATAAAGATTTGATAACTATCTGTATACTTTTGCTTCTTTCTTTATTATTAAAATAAATTACACAGTTAAATTAATCATATAATAAACATCTAGATTTTTTTTGTGTATGTTGTATTTCGAAATTTTCAAAATGAGTATAAATTAATAAAACTGTTAAAAATCTCACATAAGTTTTTATGATCAAGGTTTAAATTTTTTTCTATATTAAAACACAATGTTTATAAGACCATATGAAGAGATAATTTTATTTTAATAGGTTTTATGCTACTATATATATATATATATATATATTATATTTCATATTAAATTAAATCATACATCATATGAAAATACATACTTATATTTTGATATTTGCATTGAACATATATTGAAAAGTTAATATTTTAATTTTGAAATCTGTCATTGTTTTTTTAATGATTATAAATTATTGAAACTACTAAACAACTCACATTAAAAAAAATTGTTGGTGTAAAATTTTGTTAATTAATCATAAATCATATGAGTAGAAATATCATTTAATAAATATCCATATTAAAAGTGTGCTATATCTCTGTTTTAAATCATTTAAATTTAATTATATATCATATATGATAGATAAGATTGATTGTTTTGATTTATTTACCCTAATTGCAAATAAACAAGAGTGGTCGTTAGATTTGTATGCACACGCCAATTTCTCAAATAATAGTAACTGATTTCTTAGTTATTTAATATATATTTATTATTTATTATTTCATAATATGCAGAAATACCTAAAATAAATAATAAATATGAAATATTTTTTGTACCAAAATGCAGATGTTAACCTAAGTATGTATCTCTTTAATTATTTTAAATCTTAAGCATTTTCTATATCTCAGACCAAAACAAACAAAGGAAATGAGGATAAACTTCAAAATCAATATTTATATCGAGCAATAACCAATATGAAAAAGACAAAAAAAAATATTGAAGATAGATATGACTCACACGTGAACATAAACTTATCGTAACCATGATTAGTTTTTAAATTGTTAAATCATGATATGAAATCGAGCTAACATAGTTTCATTGTAACCAAATAGAACTGATATTTTTTTACTTAAATGTTAGGTTCTTTGCGGTAAGTCATATTTTGACCTAAAACATTTTTAAAAATGATATCAGCTCATGAGTAAACAAATTATGTAATTAACAAAAATTAGAAAAACATTTAAAGATCAAAATATTAATTCAATCAAGAATATATATTTTTCCATATAACATTTTAATTAATTTTTATATAAATTTATCCTACATAAGACGCATGTTTTATCCTAGTTAAATAGATTAATAGATAACAAACCTACACAAGATTTTTATCCTGATGTAAACAGTGTGTGCGGCTAGAAGCTTGGGTAGCATGGGCAAAGCTAGTTTTTTTTTATTGGATTCATAATTCATAAAGAAAAATATAAATGGTATCCGCAAAATAAATCTAGTGGAAGTCTTTTTACTCAAATTATTAAAAATTCATTAATGCTTTTACATTAAAAAATTGGATTCGAATTCCAGAGGAACAATTTATTAACAATTTCTATAATATTATTTTAGAAATTAGTTTTTACGTGTCGCGTTCACGTTAGTTCCCGCGACGATTTAGTACATTGATACTCTTAATGAATTAAAAAATATTACATCTAATTACCATTATTAAATTTATTTTCTTTTTTTATTTAGTAATTTTTGCTAATTAGATTTTATTAGTTTCATTTTTATTTTTTCCAAATAATATATATAATAAAAGAGGAAACTTTAATAACTTTTATATATTTTGTATTATAAGACGAATTGTTTTGCATTGTATTTTCCGTAAACAACATAAATAAACAAAGGAATATAAAAAAATCAAATATATAAAGGTTCATAATATAAATTAACATGACGTTAAACTTATAAATAAATGTATAAATATTTCTTTTTCATAACATAATGATATTAATATGATATTATTTTGCATAATATAAATTAAAATTACTTCAAAATTATATAAATAACCGTATAAATATTTCTATCTTTGTATGAGAACATAATGATAATTAATATGATTTCTTTATTTATCAAAAATATAAATTATAAAGTTACTTTCAAGTTATAAACAATAAAAATGAATATTTTATTATTATTATTATGATTTTATTATTCTGTAAATATTTCTTTTTCTTTTATTTACCTCGTCAGATAATAAAGATAAATAACATATATAAATATAGATGAATTAGGATTTTAACTGAATATATAAATCCAAAAAATTAGGGTTGAACAACGCAACCAACAAAAAAAAATTCAAGAAGCTTCATCGTCTTCGAGTTCTCTGCGTCGTGCACTTCTTCCCTCGTGCGGTAGGTCGTTCTCGAAGATCTGAGTCAATGCGTCCTGTAATAAAGATATATATATATATAAACGTTCCCGTGTTAATACATTGTTAAAGTTTCACCTATATAGACTAGTCGGAATATAACCCTACTTTGGATATTGGTTGTTTTTTATTACAAACTTCAGTTTCGCCTTCATCATCTCGTAGTTAATGATTTTGGGACGTTCTATGTTATCGTGCGGCTTGCCATTTTTTTTCCTGATGTTCATACCCGGGGGCATGACTATTGGCCTCCAAGGTTTTTACCACCAAGCTACACCATCCCGTCAGTGATTATAATATTTGATTTGTTTTTTGAATACTTTTCTTGGCAGTAATCATGGCTGATGAAATTAACGAGATGCAACAAGAAGTAAGTTATTTGTGTTTTTTTTCGTCTACAAGGAATATGCATATATATATATATATATATATATATATATATATATATATATATATATAGATTTTGTTTCCTTCTTTCATGCTGCATGTGTAATGTGTTATCTAATTATCATGTGTACCGATATCTCTTTTACATCAGCTTGCACCCTTTGACCCAACAAAAAAGAAAAAGAAGAAGAAAGTTGTTGTTCAGGATCATGCTGAGAGCTCAACAGAATCTCAGATGGAGAAAGCAGATGATCCAATACCTGCAGGTGCGTTTGATGAAAAAGATTATCTATGTGCTGTGGAACAACTTCTTTTTTGTCTTCAATGTTCTATTTAATTATGTTACTAAAACGCTTCCTCTGATTTACTTCAAAGCAGTTGACGATGGTCTTGAAAGTACATTAAATGGAATAAAGAATAACGAGAAGCCAGTAAGTGTTTATAAATGTTTTAGTACTAAGCTTCTCTTATATTTACTCAAACTTGTGTGTTAATGTGATTATAAGCTTCACCTTACATTGGTTTATTTGATGGTTAGGTTGATTCCAGCTCGCTGAATGAAGAAAGTGTTGAAGCCGTAGAACATTTGGATGGTGGTTTGAAACTCCACATATATATTTTTGTGCTAATCTAATTATTATATTAATAGTATTCTTAGTTCATGTTTACTATTTTCTACCGGTTTGAATCTTGCATACAATATCTTGCAGATCATGAGGAAGAGAAAAGAGTAATCCAGCAGGAGAATCGTTATCCTTGGGAGGGAAGTGATAGATTTTACTTATATGAAGAGGTGAACACATCATATATAGCTTTTTTTATTCAAGCATATACAGTTAATATTCAAAATTTATAATTTTGACTTGGAGGATTCACTGCATCCTCTTCAAGATTCTTCTTGCTAGTTTTTTTTTCTCATTGGAGTTGTATGTTTGGTCAGATGCTTAGTAGGGTCTTCAACACTCTTCGTGAACATAATCCGGACCTTACTGGTAATAGGCGTCGTACAGTTATGAGGCCTCCTCAAGTTCTTCGTGAGGGTACAAAGAAGACAGTCTTTGTCAACTTTATGGACCTTTGCAAGACGTATGATCCAATATCTGCCCTCTTTAAACTCACTAGATCGTATAGCAATTCTTGATGTTTTTCTTATTTCAGGATGCATAGACAACCAGATCATGTTATGGCGTTCTTGCTTTCTGAGTTGGGTACTAGTGGTTCACTTGATGGGCAGCAAAGGTTGGTTGTTAAAGGGAGGTTTGCACCAAAGAGCTTTGAAGCGAATCTGCGAAAATATGTCAGTAAGTAACTCTTCCTCTAATTTCAAGATCAGTCTTAATAGTTATAAACATTTTAGTATAGTATCTTAATAGTTATTTCATTCGGTTGTGCCCAGAACCGGTCCTCGTTTGATTTATTTAAAATGATAATCCTCTTCATTCGTAGATAACTATGTCATTTGCCATGGTTGCAAGAGCCCTGACACAAATCTTGCGAAGGAGAATCGTCTCTTCTTTATGAGATGTGAACAGGTAACATAACTCATTTGAATACTTTACTTTTACTGCAGCATCATCTGCATGTCGTGTGTTATATATCTGAGCAAGTGAATGAGTAACTTATGGTTTGTTTTGGCAGTGTGGATCAGAACGATCTGTGGAACAAATCAAAGCTGGTTATGTTGCACTTGTTGGTAAAAGGAAGACTTGATATCCAGAGGTTTCTAGTCACTAAAGAATAAACAAGCAGTCATGTGGAGTTTCGAGATGTGATGTTTTTCTTCTTGTTCTAGCTTTCTAATAATCTATCTCACAGACATTTGTCTTCTTTCAATTGTCTCTAAGACAATCTCTAACCCTTTTCTACATATTCTTCTAAATAAAAGCATGTTAAACCCTAAATAACACGGTAACAACTGTATATAATTTTTCTTATAAACAAAGCAATTTCATTAAAAAGTACTAAATAATACCCAATGAAGACAAAGTCTGAATATATTTTGACAAAGTGATTCACGAATTTTTCTCAATCCAAAGGACTCAAAAGAGAGTTGGTTTGACTAAGACAGACAACACTTGAGCCAAGTTATTACAAAGACAACTCAATCAAACTTCAAAAGGTACTGATGATAACAAAACCAAAGGAAGACAAGACTTTCAACTCAATATAACATTTTTTAAAGAAAAGATAAACAGAGCTTATGGCATTGATTTTGATTAGGCTTTAGTGAAGCCTAGTGAGCTCTTCAACTCTCTTACACAACTCTTCCACTTGAACATTCATTGATTTAGATATCTCCTCCATCTTGTTCCTGCTCAGATCCAGAAACGACTCGATCAAGTCCCCATCCAAGAAGTTCCTCGCTTCCACAGTTCTCTTCTCGTTATTAAACGATCTCCACTGCTCGTGGCTCAATCCACCAACTCCTTTGATCACTTTCCTCAAACTAGACTGCAACTTCTCCAAGAAACTATACTGTTCTTGCGGCAGTGAAGCTATCACTCCAATCATTCCATTGACTGTACCAAAGATAACAGTTGGGATCTGACCAATCTCTGAATCAGGTAACCTCATCACTAGTGATCCGTGGCAGAATCTGTTCACGAATTCACCTAGGTGATACTCCCCAACTACTTCTAACCTCCCTCGTTCTTCATCAGTAGCACCTTCACTGTTCTTCTTAACTGTTAACAGATTGAAATTGTTCTCAGCACCAAGGTAGGTATCATCATCTAGTATCTCAACAGCCGACATCCAATTAGCATTGTAGTCCCGAGCTCGTTCCTCAATTGCACCTTCCTCGTGCTTCAAAACAATACAGCATCAAAAGAATTCAAGAATTAGACATCCAAATCTATTGGTTTTAAGCACAAAAGATTCAGTTCATATACCTTATAGATCAGCAAGGATATGGACTTCATCAGATCACCAACAACGATAAAGTCTCCACGGGTCTGCACATAGAGAGCTAGAATGTGGCCGTGATGTCCACATTCAGACTGTAATTCACGAGTGCCATCATCACGCAGCATCCACTTGTATAACTGAATCTTCTGATTAATAGCAGCGAGAAGCTTTCCATTGAAGGCATTGAGAGAGTACACAGCTCCTTTGGTTTCTTTCTCAGCGATGAGTTGCAGTTTCGCATCCTCTACCATAAATACTAATATCCTTCCCTGCATTCACCAAAAAAAAAAAGTTATAAACTAAACTTTTGACTTGAGAGTGATGATGTCTCGAAGAAAAGTTGATACCTTGGTTGGTTCATTTTCCTCTGGTAAAACATATGCGGTTCCAACACAGTAATAGACATTCTTGTCGTCGGTGAACGAGCAGCTTAGTATGGAGCAAGCGTATTCAAAGGCATCCAGTGGATAAGTTGACATAAACTCGAAAGATTGGTCATCCAAGAGACGAACAAAATGCATTTCAGATTCTTCAGCATTGGTCTGGTTTCCCAAACTGCAGATACCAAACGTTCGTGTCTGTTCCTGGTGGCAGATTCGACGAGCATGCTCTCCCAAAGGAATAGTGCGTATGTGAAGCTTCTGAATATCATCAATGGTGCCAATCGTAAGTTCACCTTCTCTGGCAATCGCTAAACTGCTCACAAGAGAGGACCAACGAATCAGATTTCAATACAATCATGAACTTGAAAACAAAAGTGATGAAAGGATGTTTAGTTTACCTGTCGGGAAAAGCAGCAGAGTTGAAAGGACACATATAACTAACTTCTTTAAGGTTGACATTGCTGTATAACAGCTTCTTGTTGCTGCTATAGATTACGGTTGGTCTATCTGATGCAGCAAAGACATGTGTGGCGCTTTTAGATGAAAACGTACGCAGAGTTATAGGCTGAGTCCCAAGTGATACTTTCTTTCTGTCTTTCAGTTGACCAGTAGTTGTATCCAGCTGGAAGTTCAATAGATGGCCATCTCCAAGAGCACAGAGCAAGTAAGATATCTGCAACATAACATATGTCAAGTTCTACCACTAAACTTAACTCGGTTCTGAAGTAATGTTCAATGCAATCATACCCCTTCGAATGAACAGAGAAGAACAGATCGGGGAATGATCTCTCCTCCTAATTGCTCTTTCGTAATAAGAGTGAGTTCTGGCAGTGAGAAGATCCTGACACTTATATCTGTCCACATCCCAACCGAAGCTAGCTGACTGTAGTTAGGATTATCGCCGATAGGATTGATGTCAAGGCAAGAAACCTCGTACTCCAGAACAGCATGTTGCACTTCTGTCAATTTCCCATCTCCAATTTCTAGATAAACCAAATGCCCACCTCCAGTTGCCAAAAGAACCTACCAAGCCAATTAAAGAATCTATTTACAACTTTCTTCGAAAACGAGCAATTTAGATTTCTCTTTCACAACAAATATTTGCAGTGTAACGACTACATACAATGATACAAAGATGTTAAATCAAATCCAGGATGAAAAGACGAACCTGGCTAGCATTTGCGGTTGCAACATTTACAGTGAATCCAGCTGGGGAATGCCACTCATCACGCAATTCTCTAGTCGTAGAGCTGACTAGTCGAACAGAATTGGAAGTAACCTAATCCAGAAGAGAGACCAGGAAAGTAAGCTATAACAGCTATTAAATACATTGCTGCCTTCTGTAAACTCTCATGCATTAGAAAAAACTTGCCTGTACAAGCTGATTGTACACAGCATCATGGCAAAATAAAGTCTGGACTTGAGATAAGAACCCCTCAATCTCTGTTTCTTCCAGTTCATCCTCAAGATTCATGGCTAATATGCGAGTTTCACTGATAAAGCTAACCACGAGGAATGTGTCAAATGCTTCATCAACTGAAGATTTCAACGACCACATTCCCTTGATACCTTCGAGTTCCACAGACGCCTGTAATACAGCGCAAATTTAAGCTAGAAACTAGATAAGAAAACTGAATATAAAAGAACAGGACATCGAGATTTCGTGAAATAAATCAAACCTGTTCATTGATTCCTATTCCATTGCGAACTATGCGGAGGGAACCATCCTTAAATGCTCCAGAACAGGTTACAACCTGACCTTGCCCTTGTCTCTCGAGGTCGACTACACAGAAGTCCACAATAGGGCCCAGGTTGGTATACCTTTCCAAGACCTCTACATATGAGCCTTTTGCATCAGGATGTAGATTTAGCTTTACTAGCTGCAATTGGAAAATCAAACATGGAACACTTAGATTATCATTTTACATTCTACAGGAACAAATTAAGCAAAAAAGAGTTAATACAATAATTATTTCTAACACACCTGAGAATCACCGTAGCTTGAGCCGACAAAGACAACGGCATTGTCAAGGTATGATATAGTCGACGCAATAGATGTGTCACCAAGAAGCTCGATCTTTAGGCCAGTGACCCTTCAGATACAAATAAAAGCAGTATAAGCATAAAGTAAATGAAGTCGGTAGAGCTTTCAATTGTTTAGAATATGGAATGGCGTAACAGTTAGTACACTTACTTTTCTTTCTCGTGTGTTATAACAAGCAGATGAACTACTCCAGCATGGTCACCAAGAAGATACCTGGAGCCATCAACATCAACTCTTCCATATGCTTTAGTGATGGACTGGACATGAAATCAAAGGTCATGTATCAAACTCAGATATTAGTAAAAATGGTACTCGAAGAAATCTCAAACAACAATTTACAAAAGCAGGTGAGATTAAGTTGAAAGAACTTACAGGTCTTATTGGTATTGCTTTGAATGCATTAGCACTGCAATAGACAATTGTTTCTTCACCAATAATGAGGACCCCGCAGAGAGGTGGTGGTACAGGAATCAGTAAGTCAGCACCATTGTCGAGATTGTTCTGTGACCATGGACCCTCGACAAAATCCTTATCTTTTAGAGAGACTTCATAAGTTTTAACATGACGAGCATCTTTGTTGTCCTGTGAAAGCAAACATTAGTTAGTCCCACCGGAGAACATTCTAGATTGCATCTTACACATCAACGCATAATATTCTAAGTAAGAAACTGAAGAAGAAACGATCTGTTTAAACAACTACCACTCAAATAAATAGAGTAAGTTACGTCTCTTAAACTCCATCAACTACCAACAGTAAACATACTAACCAACTAAAAAGAGTTCTTTCTACAGTAAAATCTAGTAAGACTTAAAAATAAAGAACCAGGTTTAGATTCAAATGCATGTACAGAGATTATTCCATACCACAGCTATGCTGAGATATTTCCATACCTGATAAAGTACTGCAATTGTGGGCTTTGCACATCCAAACAGAAACTTGATATCCAGAACTTGCAATTCCTCCAGCCTGAAATTTAGGCACCACAATCAATATAGTTTAAAATGTCCAGAGAGTAACGGTACCGTAAAGAGTCAAGAGGATAGAGTCCATTAAGGATTTGCGAGATAATCTGACGCATGGAAACAAATGACCACTAGGAGACACACAAAGGTGACGATAGGGATGCAATATGCTACCTGATATTAAAAGCTTCCTTGAGCTGTCCCTTATTGTCAAATGGTATAACCTGTAAGAAGAACCAAAGAAACAGACGCATCATCATACATCGTATAAGTAAAAGATCAGTAGAAGTTTTGTAACATGATATGTAATTCAGTAAACGAACACACGTCTATATAAGACAAGTATATACCTTGAACAAGCCGTCATACAGGTGGAGTCCAATTAATCGACAATCTGGATCTATTATGCCAAT